CTGAATATAATTTGCCCCCGACATATCTATTGATTGACTTATCAACTAATTGTTTCAGTTCTAAATCTAGAGCGTGAATTAAGACAAAGTGAGCAGAGAAGTCCACGATGCTTCAGCAACTTTTTTTTTGTGTGTTGATACCCACCTGACAAAATCTTTTAGAATCATTCAATCATGGTGACAGTTCACCAGAACTCCAGTCTCAGTTGACACATTGTGAATCCCTGTAAGTGTATACAGTAATCCAAAATGGTTCATCAAAGAAGACTAGAAGAAAACTAATCTTATAAACTAGATTCAAACTAACTTCTTACCGTGTAATAAACAAACTTTGAGCATGTTTCTCCAACAGATACAAACACACAATAACTCTAAATTATTCTGCACTTGATGCTTTTACCCATTTCAGTGCTGGAAGATATAAAAAAAAAGTTCACAATAAAACTCTTGTTTGGATATTTTAGTAAATAAGCTCAATATTAATATGTTTCCAGTTAAAAATTGCTCTGTTCTTTATCATGTCCTTGTAAAAAAGTGCTCTCTTTTGGTTTTGTTGCTCATTGTAAAAATAAAGGTGGGAGTAAACTACTTGTTGAGTCGTGATCAAATAAATTCATCCATAAAGAGAAGCAAAAATGTATCTACTGCTGCCGTGGCGACAAAGAGAGAGGAAGATGAGGAAAAAGAGAAAAGATAAGAGTGTGAGGAGGCGACAGGGAGGAGACAGAGAGCTGGAGACAATGACAGATACAGCTAAAGGTAGAGATGGGAAAGTAATGAAACATTAAAACAGACAATAGGCCTAATTTCTTATTCATGATTTTCTGCTTTGTTGCTGCTCTTGTGAAGGTGCTCTTGCCTTATTTTAACCTGTCTGTCATGTCAGTAAAACCTCACTGAAATGGACTGAGTGGCACGTGGAGACAGACGCAGGCACGGGTAGCGGGAAAGGTGCCTGGTGACTCAGGCGAGTTCACCTGCAGGTATTCAGAGATGGAGGAGCACGCTTAATGTAGGACAGCTTTCCAACAGGGCATTATTCAGCCCTAAATATAGACAGTACAGAAGTAGGCTGAGCTAACAGCGCTGCCAAAAGGCCAAGAAAATAAGCCATAACAGTGAGTGAGGACTGCCAGATGTTTTCATAATGTCTGCAGAATCATTTAATCACTGTGGTTATTATGACCTTGTTCAAACCCAATATATAGAAATGTATTGAAGCAGTAACTTTACTTTTTGTTACAAACTGAGCTTGCAGGTGATAATGAAGGTGACAAAACACAAGAATTTACCATAAAGTATTACACCGAATAAAGACATATTTCATGTTTTATAGGTTATATAGTCTATTCACAAACAAATATATAATGAGTGACTTTGTCCCTGCAGAGGTCTAACTCCCTATCAGACATCTTATGAATAAACTATTATGGAACTTACATTACACACTTATTTGTGGTGTGGGAGGTGAAGTGCATTAAATGTTCTCTCAACACCAATCATGGATAAATAGCATAAGAAAATCTGTTGCATTTAACTGTGTTACATCATTTTTTCCTTTTTTTCTTCTTACAAAATGTCCTTTTCGTGCTTCCACAGGCAGCTGCAACACAAGGATAGTGATGGAAAGAGGACATTTGGTAGTAAAATAACTGTAACTTTGAAAGATATCCACTTGATTAGACTAAAGATTTCATATTTATCTTCAGTTGAACTTTAAAATGCATTTTTACACAGAAGAGGGGATCTCTTAACAGCCAGTATGAACAAAAGGAATAGTTAAAGTGGCCAGTTACTGTTTTAATGTACATATGTATGTGTCAGTTGTGTTTTAAAGGACCTGACCTATGAATATTATGATATTTCTATTGTATTTCTGCCAGTAGAGCCTCCTAAATGTTACACACAGCGTTTATACTTCCTGTCTCTACAATATCCACTGTGGATCCATCCTATAACACAATAACACACAAATACTCTCTTTTTGAAGCTCATAAGGAGTCTATATCTTGCTCAAAGACAGCCCAGAGAGGTAGATTCTCGCCAGCTTCATGCCTGGGACTTCATGGGCAACCCTCTGACTCACTCCACCCCCTCCCTGCTGAGCTGACAAGTGATTTTTCTAGAAAATCACCATCTTCCTACATACACACCTTCCTCGTGTGGCACAGAGCTCATTTCAGCTATACTCCTCTATCCCTCTCTCTCTCTCCCTCTCTGCGCACCCCTTTGAATCTCTCCCTCATTATGTCAACATCTAGTACGACACAGGGCTGATGGCACAGTTAACCTCCATTGCTAGTATAAGTGGGGCTGCGCCACCGTAACACTCGCATGTTCTACACTGAGCCGGGACAAGCCTTGACTTGTTCTAGACTCTGAGACCCAGAAACACCTACACTATATACTTCACAATTACCGTCAGTGAGTGACGTTTAACATTCCTGCTGGAGGAAATCTGGATTACCTGAATTTAACACAACTGAGGTTGGAAAGAAAGAAGAGTTACAGAGATGAGGGTGAAGCAAGATTGATTTTCCAACCGATAAAGTTCCCAGTGATATGTTATTCCTCACACTAGGAAAAAAAATAATGTGTCTTCTTCCACCTCATAATATCTGTGCTATTTTTAGCAGGTAATTCCGGGTGTGGTTATGATAAAGCAACACAGTTCACTGACACTGGACCTGTCAGTAAACCATGTCAACTCAAAAACACATCTAAAAATATCCTGTTGATTCCTTTGTCTCTTTCTTTTTCTCTTTACAACTTGTTTTCTCAGTTTTCCCCAAGCTCTCGGTGAACTCAAACAAGTTGCGGTCCTGTTTCTGTTATGTAAGACTCACAGAATGGTTTGAAATGGCTTGTTAAGAGTCCTCAGAGGTTCCAAAATCCTTGTTCATAGATCACAAAATGGACTCTTGTTCTGCTATGACACACTCAGATGGTTAAAAAAAATATACCTACACAAACCTGCTCTGTTCTACCTCAGCTGCCCAGTACACACACACCTACAGTAATCGTGACTCATTAAGAAATTCCCACTCTGCACTTTCTTTCTGGCAGTGACTCATCAGAGAACATTCAGGATAGGTGTGACATTCTGGGACTGACTGCTGCTGCTATACATGAGGAGGAAACAGGTGGCGAGATCCTCACTGTGAGAGAGGAGAGGGTGGGGGGGAAAAAACCCTAATTCATCTTTGCATTTGAATTTGTTGATGATCAAGACCAGTGGTGCAGTGCAGGTCTTTTTTTTTTCTAGGCTGGAAAAAGGCATGAGTTGTCTAATTCTCATGAGTGGGTGGAGTAAGAAAAGTAAGTAATACTTCACTCAAGATGCATTGATGTAGTTGTCTCATCTGATCTGTCTGTGGGCCAGTGTTGATGCAAAATCTGATCCTCTTCTGTGGCTAATGTTACTTTCACAATGATCCTAACTCCCTTGAAGTCTAGCAGCACGAGTTAAGTGACGTTGTGCAAATACTACTGGTCTATTTTTAGGTAAGTTAAATATGCATATGAGTAGTCGCTGCTTATAACCATCCTTTGCTGGGCTGGTGTTTAAATTGGTTATAAATTAAGAGTATATCCATTTCCCCAGGCACCACTACACCACTGATCAAGACGTATCTCCATTGTGACATTTATATTACTGTATGTAATAAATCAAGAGAGTACTTGACTCCTTTATTCTTTGAATATGAGGAAGCTTCATCATCAAGTTGTTTGATTGATGTGTATGATGTGAACACAGTGAGCTTGATGATGATGCAACTTTAACGTCCAATAATATATGAATTATGGTTTAAGATTAGATGATTGTTGTAATAGTATAGGAATAAGGGGATTTTACAGTGTATGGTTGTCTAATAGTAATATTACAGGTGTATTAATAAAAAATCTGTGTAAAAATCCAATAAAAATAATGGATACTCTAATCAGTATTTATAGATATTTCATGGTTTTGTTATCTAAAAAAATGACAAGAAATAAGGAGATGTAAAACAAAAGTCACTGATACAAGTTATGATCATAACTTCTTTGCACAAGATAAAAAAATATCACCTCACAGGATTTTAGAGGCTCTTTCATATCAGCTACTGTACCAGATAAAAGCTCTTATTGTGATGCCTGTGCTGAGCAACGAAGCCGGGAGCTGTTTCATTTCTTGCACTACAGCCAAAAGCAAAAATATTTGGTTGGTTCCTTTGACTGAGTGGGTAAATAACGTCAGTCAACCTCTCAACAAGGAACAACAGTCCAAGTTCTGTGCAGAGCACCCAGTTGGCTACTGTTGTTCTTTGATTTATTCAAGCAACAAGTCTTGAACAAATCAGCAAGTTTCTATTTGGGAGGGTTCTCGGAAGCGACTGGATGCACAACATAAGCAACCCCTCCAGCAATGTCAAACGTTTCTCTGGACACATTCCAGTCCAGATGGGTCCCTCTGTACGCCTGCTCCCAGCTCAAGTATCTGGAACGAGTCTTTTGCTCAGTGGCTGCAGTAAAAGAAGCAGGAGAATAGACCTAGTGTGGAGAAAATTAGGAAAGTTGAAAGAGTTTATAAAAAAAAAAAAAAAAAAAAAAGGTTAAGATGCAGGAAACACCACTGGTTCAAAGATAATGTATTTAAGTATTAATAGCTGTGAGGTTACAACACAAACTGACTATTTTGAGTATATTGGTCACACCTTTGTTGTGGTTACATGTGTAACCATTTCTATGTGAACCTTCGAGGCAATACATTTTATGTATTTCAGCACCTTTATATTAAGGTCAGTAAGGACTGAAAGCAGCTTTTTTCCTAATGAAATACAATTTTCCTGATGGGAAGGGTACTTTTCATCCTAATTAGGCCATAGGACATTAGAACCAATTAAAAAAGAAAATGCAGACCGCTAAACATGGCTGAAACCTAAATCTTTCTTAAATTCCCATTGGCAAAAAGCCCCCCCCAATTAGACAGAACACGCAAATAAAGACATTCAGACAAGGAGACAAGTGCAACATGGGTTTATTGTGAAACTGGTTATTAAGACATGAACTTGATTAATGCCATATCAAATCTTAAACTCCGCTGTAGTAAAGTGCAGATTCAAATCAAGTTGCCCTGGGAGTCCTCATACATTTTCTATGTCTGGTTTTGAACTGTCAGGTTTAGTAGACTGCAATATGAAATCCTACGAATTATGAAAAGCCCTTTTTTTCAACCCACACATCTAAAAAGCTAATGTGCAAAAAAGATAATTCACAAGCTTCACAATTCTGTACGTTGACGTGTCCTCCCACTCACTGATGTCTTCAGTTCTCATACAATTGGACGACATTTGTACAAAATGAGCAGAACTATCCTAGCTGTAGTCTAGTTTGGAGTCTAGGAGTTGTCATGAAAAAGGTTTTCTGCAGTGATTGGTTAGTTGGTATGCTGCTGCTGCTGCACATGCACAGTGGGGCCAATGTTAGTGACATACTCAAGATTTTGCTTTTTGATCATGATTATTAAAAAAGAATGACGGCGTTTAAAGGTCGGCCATGTACGAACATTAAAGAGGTCACTTCTGTGTACAAGCCTGCACACTCCAGCGGTTGTAGACAGTTTGGCCTGCTGTGGTTTTCTAGTGGCAGTCATGTGTATTATGGAAACACCAGGAGTGCCACTTCACCAAACTGTTGTCCTCAATATTTTGTGTAAGCTCCAAAAAAAAAAAAAAAAAAAAATCATCACTCTGCATACAAGAAACGCACTGTGTGGCACTCATGCTCTCTTTCACGCATACAGACGTACACAATCACCCAAATTCATTCACTCTTCTTACAAACAAATCAGTACAATGGTTTTGCATCCCCCCCACCTTCTTTGAGTGAAGTAAAGGGATACTGAAGGAAACGGCAGCAATGAGGTAAACACAAAAACTCATGAGAGATATTGCACAGACAAGTGCCGGCACAGAATACAACAGTCTCTCTTTCCAACAGCCTAGCCTGTGCATAGGAAGAATAAAGCACTTATGGTGTTCGCAGACATTAAACCCTTCTCGTAAAGCTTTGTTATACACTAAAGAGGGAACGATGAATGAGTCTAGACTCCACACCACTTGGCAGATATCCAGAGTTGCATGACAATAACTAAATGTATTGTAAAAGTACAAAAAATAAGAGGAGGAAAAAAAAAAAAAAAGGAGTAACCTAATGATGACTGAGGAAGGGTCCATGACTGTTGGCAACAGTGATGGGACAAACCAAAAAAATAACCTGAAGTCCCAGCATATGTAGAAATGCCTCAATCCTTGCTTTGAGAAGAGAGAAGCAGGCAAAGTTGAGACTGGGTTGGAGCCAGCATGGAGAAAAATCTCTCAAGTTTCATTCAATAAATAGCATAGTGGAATATGCAAAAAAAAAAATCATTTTTTTCTAAAGCAAAAAACACGTAAACCCCCTTGTTCACTTCATCCAGAGATCGAACTGTGTTTGTCCATGTTGCAATCCACTCCAAATACATCCCCACAGATCGGGCTGTGACCAGTCAGAGCTGTGGCTCCATGAAAGAGCAAACAGAGGAAGAAAAATGGTAACTCATTCCTCCGTTTACTCCCTTCATTTTTCAGTTTATCCTGGTTAAATGAGGACATTTTTGTTCACATGATTCTTCAAGTTCATACTCCTTACCTAACCCATGTAACTGTCCTTCAGCTCCTCAAACCCCTCATGGGTTAGGCTTGAACTATAGTGCTCCTCGGTCTGTCTAGCCCGCTTGATGTAGTCACACCCTTTCCTCTTTTCATCCACCCCTCTCTACTTCTTCACGATTATCTGTGGAGCAAGACAAAGGCCTCTAGTTTCTCGGGGATGTTTCCCCGGTAGTTGAGGCTGTGCTTGATGATGGCCCTGGCGGCTAGGCACTGCAGCGTGGTGTGGTTTATGGGCTGGATGACATTCCTGGAGAGCTCCTTCTCATCCAGGAGGTCGCAGGCTGTTTGTTGGAAGGCGTTGGTGCTGTCAAAGTGAGTCCCGCATGAAATCAACAGGTTCATGATGTCTGGGTGACCATTGGATGCGGCGATGTGAAGGGGGCTGGTGGGTTAGAAAAGATAATAGATATATGAGATTAAACAGTTAAGTATTCTTCTTAGTTTACAATATAAAGAGAAACAATTGTTGTTTGAACCCGGTTTCTTATTAACACAATTATTGGTAAAAGTTAAAACCAGGATAGCGAAAGAACTGATGAGAGCTGAAAATAGTGTAGAAGAAAAATAATAAATAAACCTGTTGTCATCTTCATCGCGGCTGTTAACGTCCGCCCCACACTCGAGAAGGATGGAAGCGACTGTGAGGGAAGGGAACTTGCAGACGGGATAGCGGCCCACACAGGTGGTGTTGCGGTCGACCGCCAGGTGTAGTGGACTGTAGCCATTCTTACCACACGGCTGGAGCTTCAGGAATCTGTGAAGATATGGAAAGGATGACAACTTTTCCGTCAAGGATTAGCAAAAAAGTGATAATTATCTACAAACATCAATGGTAACAGCACTATGGAAGAACAGGTCGCAACTGACAATGAGAACTTTAAGTTAGACAAAAGTCATCTTTATGATTAATTGACACAAATGCATACAAATTCACCAAAGACAAGAGGTGGAATCTGTTTCTTATTTTCTGGAACCCAGACAAGGCAGGGCAGGAAAAAGACTTTCAGAAATGAGGTCAAAGAAAAAAATCACAAAACATGTGCGTTCCCTCCCTCCATGTTTTAAGTGGATGACACACATGAATGGCCTCCCTCTATATTTGAAGGTTACTGATTTTTCCATCACTGAAGACAAATTGCTGCCAATACAAGTAAATTACACATAAACTCACCTATAGATAGTTTCCTTCTTAAAGTGGTCCTGCTCTGCAGTACACGGCACCTTCTCTAAAAGACAAATGAGGTGCAGGATGATTGACAGGGCCTTGCTGAGCTGGGCAGGGTCAGGAGGCATAGGTCCATTTTGTTTAACTGCCCGCTCGATCTCCAACACACTTTTGGAAAGGATCCCCATCAAGTCCTCAAATGACACAGATGTCCCCAGGAGCCCCTTGGCCCTGTCCTGCAGCATGAAGGAGAAGAGCTCAGCGAACGACAGCAGGCTGGAGGCTGTCATGGGGCTGAGGGGGTCCAGGTTGCTCTGCTGCATGTCCAGTGCATACTTCCACAGATTGATACAGCGCTCAAAGTTCCCAGAGTCAGCATAGACAGCACCGCGGTAACGGATGTAGTAAGAGGTGTCTGGGTGTTGGGGGCCGAGGATCCTCTCTCGGATGAGCAGTGCCTGCATGCGCATCTCATCCGGGTCAGATATCAGCCCATCCAGCTCTTCTCCGTTCGTTACCTGGGATTAGGATTACAAGGTGAAGACAATGACAGGGTTCAGTGATTTAAGCAGTTTAGGGTTTCCGTGTACATGCAATGAAGTCAGGCTTTCCAGAAGCAAATAGCTTTAACACCTGACACCAGACTCTTACTGTAGGTTCGCTGATGAATATAACTCCAGCATAATACTTTTTTTTTATTGTTTCCTTTGTGTCTAAGAACCATTTTTGTAGAGAAAACAAGCCTGTGACAATGTGACAGTCACCTTTCTTAACTGTGTGCCACCTGCACTAAAATATAACCACGTCAGCAATAGTAAAAACCTATTTAATGAACATTAAATGCCATGCAGAATCACCCAGGGGTAGTGTTAGGTTTGGAAAGACAGACTCAAACTGAAACTCACCTCTCTCGCATAGTCGTATGCCATGATCAGCTGCTTGGGTTCTGGTTTATGGACAATGTTGTTACTGTCCATGTACCTGAGGTCCATGGCTCTCTTCCAGTATTTTAAAGCTCCGAGCAGATCTCTCTTCTTGTCAACAAACGTGGCTCCCAAGAGCTCCAAGGCATCAATGCGTTCCATGGGGCTTGTCTACAGACAACAGAACAACACAATTCAAGATTCAAAAACATCATAGCCACAACTTCACACACGCTCTCCATTGTAAGGGACAGAAACCCTGACCTGCTGGTGCGTCGTCAGTTCGTCTACAATGTTCGTGTGGCCCGTGACGCTGGCAGAGAGCAGGGGTGTCATGCCGTAACCGTCCTGCTCCATGGATGCCCCATACTGCAGTAACATCCGCATGATCTCCAGACTTCCTGACTCTGCACAGTCATGAAGTGCCGTGTTGCCTGCGTACAGAAGAAGACACACATGTCTTACAATAAGATACAGATTATGTCATTTATATTCATTGGTACACACAGACACGTGTCACCACACAGAAGCTTCGTTATATGTTCATGCAGTGAAGGGTTTGTGTTTATATTTAGCTACAAACCTAATATACACGAACTCCTGACCAGTTAACCAGTAATGTTAGAGGATCTGCAGATACACTTACACTGATAAAGCCTAGTATAGTTTTAGTACTGGTAATAAGTGGCACTTATTAAGTAGATTATTAGATTTAGTATAATAACATCCTCACTGTTTCTACATAGACAATCAGAGTTAGCTAGAAGTCAGCTGCACACCATCACTTCTTGGAATATATTCAAAATGGCTGCAGATCTGCTGATACCATGATTATTGTGGATTCTAGCTTTCAGTTTTTGTTACACGCTCATTTCCACCCAATGATTCACAATATGTGCATGCAATTCTCTACACCACTCACTCGGATAGAAAACAGCAGGTCATGCTGCCACTAGTGTTAGTTTAATGGGTAAACCGACTGAGTAAAAGCTTTCCGGTGGGGATGTCAGCTCAACTGCAGCAAACCTGTTTGCAACGATTTCTCCATTAAACAACATGCCCTCTCGTGACACTGTGCAATGTTGTCCGAGTTGTTTTCTTTCACTTGGTGGGTGTGTCACGTCATAGGTGAAACCTGGCGGGGCTGTGATTTAAGACATTTTTGGTATTCTAAAAACAGCCATCAACACGTAATGGAGCACTTTGTGAACTGTAACATATGTATTCATGTCCTCATAAGTCCTCACTGAAAGCATGCAATATGACAATTTCAGCTTATGTACGTGTGATCAGTGCTGAGGCTGACTACAACACTTGTTTGAGTGGAAAGACTGAAGGGAGCCCTAGAAAAAGATAGGTTATTTTCAGTGTTTAATGAGTAAAGCAAGAAGTCCTTATGTATAAAAGTCATTGTGAGTAACACTTCAGTATATGGTGTGACATGACGATGACTGATGTTAGTGAAAGTTAAAAGTAAAAACAAATACAAGTAAATTCCTTCAAATAAATCCATAAAAATAAAATAAAATAAAATAAAATAAAATAAAAAAAATATACATGTCGATCCTGACCAGCCCATCATTTCAATATAAAACTTTAGTGTAATGCTTTGCTTTCGCTTCCCTCCAGCCTGGCCACTCTCAGTACACTGAGGCTAATCCATATTCAAGCAGACGAGACCAAACAGGGTTAGTCAGGGATTAACTATTATGTATACTCTCCAGTTTCTTCCAAAACTACGCCAATCAGATTATTTTATTCTTGACAATGGAAACTTGGGGAGAGAAGCACTGTGGCTTCTCCTCTAGTATATGATTGACAGGGCAAGCTGGGTTAAGATTGCAGGAAAAAAAAAAATGTTTAACGTGGTTGTGGATGGCTAAATGCTTTCAAGTGATTATACAGTCAATACTTTAATGTTTCTTATATTATAAATAGTCTCTTCTAGAGGAATATTACTCTATTTTTTAATCACCATGTAACTATTAACTACAATGTCTCTTTTGGGTCTCTAAACCAGCTTCCACTGGATTTGACACCACTTTTGAGGGGGAAACATGTTCAATAGTCTTAATTTTTTACAACATCAATAGTTTTACGTGGTGTAGAAAATGTGTGTTGCTTGTTGAGATGATAAATTCACTACCACTTACAAAAGAAGTTAATCCAGAAACTTGGGAAATCCCTTCTACAGCCAGGGATTAGTCTGAAAACTCATTATGTGTCTCCAAACAGAATTTAGGCTACCTTTAAAGCCAAGTGAGCAGAGCACCTCACTAACAGGTGTTGTTACTGAACGAAGAGAGCTGACCACGCTTTTTTTAAACAGTTCAACTGGCTGGTCTGACAATTTTCCACCGAACTTGCTTGCCTTCCGACAAAACGTCCATTGTTTTTGCGAAATTTGAAACTTCATATCTAATATTACACATCTACTCCTTCCTGTCGGGTCAACTGTTACGGGAAAGGCAAGAGTCTGAATAGTGGGCTAGTAAGACCTCCTCAGTCATCACATGATGCTGTCAAGCTCACTTGTAATGATTTGTGCACAATAGATCGCCTTCCTCCTGCTCTTCTACTTGCCTGACTTTAGTGTTTTGGATGTTGGGAGTGAATGAATTTAGTGGCCTACGGTGGGTTCATCAGGCAAGGCGAGCACAGTTCTGTGTAGGAGGTGGACACGCAAAATGTGCACAAAGCAACACATGTACAAAGTGCCTGCTCACAAGTTTGACGGAGTCGTGCATGAATATTAACACAGACGCCACATATATTTTGAGAGCAAGATAATTTGGAACACACTGAGCAAACAGCTGGTCAAAAAGGGGAAGTGGACTATTGTTTGAGACGTTTTAAAAAAAAAAAAAAGGACATTTTGATCACTCAAAATCCACTGAAACGAACATTGATTCAAGGAACAAGGAAGGAACAATACACATTTCCCCGCATTCTTATTCATCTACAGTGGTCATGTGTTGGATACAGAAGATTATTAAAATGCAGGATATCACTTCAATGCTTTTCTTTTTAAGCAATCCTGTGGTCTGTGACTTTATAAAAAAACCAAAAAAACAAAAACAGATGGTCACTGGTTTTCATGCATTTATAAAATACCATCTAAGGAGAAAATAAGATCTTTCAGACACACCCACAGAATCGGTCCAAGCTGACTAGTCATCCTCACAGCTTTCCATTGTGGAACCAGAAGTTCGTGTTTTTTTTTTTTTATGTTGAGTCATTTCAGAAGGGAAAGAGCAAATCCTTTTTTATTGATTATCTCATATTGCTGTTATAGCAAAGTGAACAGATCTCCTCATATAAAAATCAGAAAAAAACACTGCTATGAAGCCAATAAAACACCTTTATCTGCAGAATCAGTTTCTTATCTCAGGGTCAGAGAACATGTGAATAAAAAGAGGAAACTGGGTCGCACACTCACAGCAAACCAGCACTCACCTTTTACACTTTTCCTGTTGACATCTGCTCCTTTCTCCAGCAGGTACTGCGCTATGTCCTTGTGTCCCTTGTAGCAGGAAATCATGAGACACGTGTGTCCGTGCCTGTTGGCCACCTCCAGGTCCGCTTTGTGCTCCACCAGGTATTTCACAATGTCCAGGTGGCCATCAAAGCAGGCTGCCCTCAGGGGTGTGGAGTTGGTCAGGGTCGTGCTGTTGACAGAAGCTCCGTGGCCCAGCAGGGATTGAACCACTTTCAGGTGACCCGCCGCCGAGGCCGCCCAGAGAGGGGGCGCTCCCTCGATGGTCTCCCCGTCAAAGTTCACCGATCCACCGACCTCCACGGGAGCGCTGCAGCACTCCAGCAGATACTCTACCAGGTCCAGGTGGCCGTACCGGGAGGCCATCAGGAGCGGGGTGGCCCCGTTAGTCTTCTCGCCCATCAGCTTGGTCACCTCGTGTCCATCTTTGTTCTCCAGCAGTTTCTGAAGCAGACGGAGCTTACCGTCCCTGGCTGCGTTAAAAACTGCGGTCTTTAAATCCATCTCTGAGTGTAAAGTGTTCACTGTTAAATATAAAAAAAGAGCCAGCGATGTCCGTGAACCCCCACCCCACCCCCCCGAGGTGTACCCGCGTCCGTGGACCGGTGGAGCTCGGACCCCTCTTTGTTTGTTTACAACAAGCTTTTACAGCTAACGATAAACGAACCAGCTAACCTTTTTGTTTCCTCTGTTTTGGGGTTAAAAGCTCACAATACGTGACTTTATATTAAAACTTCAGCTTTTCTAAAAAAATGTCTCATCACTTGCCTATTATATGAATCTCCAACTCTATCGAACAACTCGGTGTTTTTCCTTTTTATTTTCTAAACAACCCTTGGTGCAGTTAATTGTCGCCGAGTTAGCAAGGTGGCTAGTCAACTTCCTTGATCAACGCAAGCTAACCGACTAGCTTCGCTTAGCTTAAAACACTTTTCTTTTTTTTTATTATCGATCGCTCAACCGATACTCATCCGTTGACACGTCTTCCCCTTCCAAGAAGCTCTCCTCCATTAGCTCCGCTTCCTGTGCTTGTCATCTTTTCACAACATACTCCTGAGACGTTACTTACATTTGCTTTCGGAGGGCCGACACAGACATCCACCCCCACCCGTAACACCGCCGCCGCCGCCGCTGTTGTTAGCTTAGCCTGGGAAAACGACGTTCGCTCTGTTGTTCGTCCAAACGAGCCGGGGTGGTGGTGGGGGGGTAGAGAGGGGATATCCCCAGTATCCCGAGTCTGTTTCTCCCTCACTCTCACCCACACAACCGAGAAACAAACGACCGACGTTACCCCCTCAAATGCAGCGAATAGTTGTCGTCCATGTAGCCACCCAAGCAAGCTGGCACCGACAGTAATCTCAGCGTAGGGGAAGGTAAATAGGGAAGGCTGTCCACCCACGGCTCCACCGGATGATCACGACTCAGTTTCTGTCAAATCGCGAACCCAACGCACCCTTTTTTCTCGACTAACGCGCGTGATTGACGTGAGAAACAACCAATCGTGGAGCTGGCACACGATGACGTAGCCAATAATAATAATAATACTAATAACACTAATTAAAACAGAATTGTTGCTTTATAAGTACAACAATGGATAAGGAAACCAACGTCAAGAGATCTTAAATTACCTTCTTTGTATTTACCGGATTAAGGATTATTTTTAAATATTGTATGGATGCGATGCTGACAGTGATAGCCTTGATTATATCACTCCCTGCAGGATAAAAGAAGCATGACCAGGAGGATGTATCCAGAAACTTCATCCCAAGGGTGTACATTAATTGTTATTAAATACAAGCATAACCCCAAGCATTTAAACAGAAAGTTTATTCAGCCATCCCAATAATTTAACAAAGTTCCCCAGAATGCCGAGCAGAGCTGAATTTGTGTCCAAAACTGACCGGCCAGTGCAAAAATCTAAAAGTGAAATGGCAGCACTGTGCCGCCTACCAAAACTGATCTATAGCGAGAGAAAGGCAAGCATAACAAAAGTTAGGAAGCCAAGGCCAGGACCAATAAATTGTAATAATAATAAATCTTTTAGCAGTTCTTCCATGTGTCTGGAATCAATTCTGACAGTTAAACAAGACCAAACTATAAAAGTCAGGTCTTTCAGTGGATTAGGCGTAGAAGTAATCTGTCTTTGTTGTAAATATAAAAGTTATATTTATGATAAAATTCTCACATTACAACAGTGACGTCTTCTATCTTTGCCAGGAGTTGATCTGATGTTGTGTACTGTGTGAGATTATACATGTAAACTGCAGAATGACAATTATCTCATGTTTCAGACAAGCCTTTGTCTAAAAGCCGTCAGCTATTGTCTGTAAATCAGTGATTAGTGAGAGAAAGATTGACCTGCTGACTGACCGACAGATTAAACTAAGCCCACAACTGCTATATGTTGTGCTTCCTGAAAATCTGAAGAATGAAACTTGAAAGCCTGTTTTTCATTTCAGTATTGCCAAGTAATTAAATAAAAAATGATTGAGGAAAGGGCCACAACTAGTCATATTAGAGAAATATGTCAAGATCTTCCTCCCTCCTTTAGAGAACTGAGTAATCAGTGAGGGGATCAAATTTCAAATTACAACTACAACTCAAAGTTACTAGAATTATCTTATATTCAAGCAATATTTTTGCAAAACAACATGAATTTTACAACAGTGCTGTATAAAACCAAGAGGACAATATCAGCCCGAGAGATAAATAAGTTGTTACACTTCAAACAGCAAAGGCAGAATTAGACATTGGAACACAACCAGTGAAAGACAAAGTTTTTATAACAAGTTGGTGCACTTGAAATTGCCGGCATTGCCACTTAACACACCATATGTGTCATTTTTAAAACACAATAATAGTATTAGTTATTTCTCCTTCTTTTTTTGTCTCCCACACTGAATCACATTGATGTAATAAAGAAGCCCCAACCTGTACCTGGAGACCACTCACCTAGGTGTGGTCAAAGTATGACTTTAGCTCAATGTATAATCGAGCAAATGGAATCTAAAAGTTGAAAAATTGACTTAGTTTACTAAAGGAATTGGTTGCAGTCCTACAGGGAGACTGTCTGCATCTCTAAATTCAACCCTTCAACCCAAATACAAACCTTTTTCAAGCTATTAATAGATTAAAGGATGGCTTACTCTCTGTACAGCATACTCCCTTCTAATAACTCCTCTAAAATGACAAAGCTGATAAAAGCAAACACAAAAATCTAGTCTCTCACTTAACACAGTGAGGTTTAATAACAAAGAAAAAAAATAAAACAACAGATTTTTTCATAACCAAATCCTTTGCCTTGACAATGTGGTTTTAGAGCCCCAATGCTCTGCAGATAAGGAAAGAAATCCTCGAGTACATTAAGTCACAACTTCCACTCCCTTGGTTATTTCAGTGCACAGTTTGGGATGAAAAATGAAACAGATCAGGGAGAGGGGGTCTGAGATAATGGGGATCGAAAAGGACACAAATAAAATGAGAACACATTTAGAAACAATTTCAAATATTTAAAGTATTTACGGTTTGCTTTAACTATATGACCAGTGGCTTGACCTGCCTCCAATACAGATAGTTACAAGCAACACAAGCAAGCATTTCTTCCGGTTCTCTTTAACCCCCTCAAAAACAATTTAAACACAAATAACCTTTTTCCTCCTAATTTGCATAAAGTTTGTAAGAATACCAATGCTGAATGAGGATGACATGTCAGGTTGTATGACCTGGCAGTTTGATATGATCCAATTTCAGATCAGCACTAATATTCTGACTCGCTCTATGCACACAAGCCGAGGTACGGATAAAGAAAAAGACGAATCAGATCCCAGGGCTCAGAGACTGTTATGATCCGACGCGTGTTGTAGTGGTCTTCTTGTCAGAGAAGAAGCTTCTCAGCAGGACCACCTGACTGATGCTGACCACCAAAAGGATAATGGCTTCTCCGATGGACCAGAATGCAACACGGGTGTTCAGGTCCTCTGCCCGACTGCGTCCCTGGGCCTCACGGAGGCGGAAGTGTGTCTGGTAGTCGATAACCGACTTCAGGGCTTCGTGGATGGACACGCAGGCTGATTCCATCTGGAGGTGGTAACAAAATGGAAGCAAACACCAATATAAGATATTTAGAGTGGCTGCAAATAAATGATCGATCAGCTAACAAGGCGACAATTTTAACCGTAAATCACAAACTAGTGGAAAAAAAATTTAAGTTAGGGTAATCAGATATTTTAACCGCACAACCATCCATCCCCTTTAGGATTTAGAATCAAGCATCTAACTAGTTTATTGCTATAAAATATTAGGTTAACTGGTATAAGTAACTCCTTAACCACAACTGGGTGTGGTAGTGACTACAAAAGCCTGTAAAAATACAATAAAATGTTCAGTTTGATCACTACAACAAACACTTGTGGTTTATTATATTTTCTGTCTATACATTTATCTTGTAGTTGCCAGCACCTCCAGCCTTGCAGTATATGCAAAGTGTTTTTATCTTTTTCAATATATTGTCTGTTATTCTGCCAGCTGATGTCCATCCTGGTTAAAACTATAGATGCTCTTATAGGCAATGAGAGTATTTGAGAGAAATTTGTAGAGGTCGCAAAACTACATGTTCTAATAGGAAGTGCAAAGATGTTGGTTGTTGGAGTAAGAGAGATGTGTATCATCTCATGTTGCAGCACATGCTGTCTGGAATAAGAGCCTGTAGTTTCTTAGTCAAATTTGGGCTTATGCAGAGCATGTACACAATTATCTGTGATGTACTCAGTATTATAAAATAAAATGTGGAGAAACCTAAGGAAAAAAACCACTACCTCACACACAAACATACAAATGCTTTGTTTGGTTCAATCCCTGGCCATCGGTATGTGCGTGTGTATGCTAATGAGCATTGGTTTCCGTTTATGATGACAACGTTGCATGTCCATAAGTGTGAATGGTAAATGTTGACATGTAGTGTAAAGTGGTTTAAGTGGTCAGAAGACTAGAAAGGGGCTATATAAATGCAGTCCCTTACCAAATACATGAGCTTGTGCATCCTCACACACACATACCTGGGTGAGAGCAGTAACTCTGTTCTCGTTGGGGAAGAGTGGAGGGTCATCGCCGACCTGGAAGTCAAAATAAACGGTCTTGTGTGTGAAGGTGGAGAACTCATTACTGAAGCAGAACTTGTAGGTGCCGTTCTTGGACGCAGTGAAGGTAAAGCTGTCATATTGCTTCTTCATCTCCTTGTAGAGTGTAGTGCCATCTGGGTCTTCCAAACGACAGTCCACGTCATAATGGCCACCTGTCACCACCTGGGAACACGTAAAGACAGGAGGACCATCAATTCAGTCACATATGACACATTCATTTAAATATTTGTTTTCTCTGCAAAACATTATAAATTGTCTTAAGTTGTATAGAGAGAAAGAAGAAGGGTGGACATTATTAACAAAACTAACCACTATAATAAATACTGAATTATTGCTGAGTACTAGGAAAGAGGCAAATCAGTTGACTGTGAGGGTTTACTATCATCTAATTTAAAAAAAAGACCAATCTAATTAAATCTAAAGCTCAAATACGGCTCTCTCTAAAGGCAAATGTGGGCAATAATACGGTTGTTTAGTTTTACACAACTGGTTTTCACATATCCCGTGACTGTTTGACAGCTTCAGCTTATTACAGAACAAAAGTAACATAAAACAATGCTGTTAAAACACGGTAAACAGACAACTGGATACAGACAATAAAACAATGAAGACGAACCACGAAAACTGATTTATATGAATATATGTATAAATTATATGGTTTACAGTGTATTGTAATAAAATAAAAATAAAAACCCAGCTTCCTAGTACATCATTCATATTTAAATGATCTTACCCACAGAGGATGAAATGTTGCTTGTGTGGACAAACTCTACCTGCATCAGCCAACAATACTTTATGCATTTGATCATCCACACAGCACTGATAAATGTGTGTGTAAAATAATATTTAAAACCTTTGCTGTGTTTATTTGAGAAAGTTTACGGTGTAACATTATTCAACATTCAGATAAGTGCTCATATGAAGCTGTCCCTAGCCTCGGGGTGTTAATCTTTCAAGCCAGGCAGTCTGGTTCAACTCGTTTGAATAAAAAAAAAAAAGACAACATCACATTAGGACAACTCATAAGGCTTAGCTTTGGGCCGAAAAAGGGGCCACGCACCTGAAACTCCAGTGTACACTTGGTTCCGATGATGATGTCCTCGTAGAAACACTGCTTGGCGTTGTCTGGCAGCTCAAAAGTGAGCTCGGAGCCCAGCACCCACCCACAGAGAAGCTGGGCCCACAGCACCTGCAGCAGCACCCGAAACGACCCGCACATCCTGAAGACCAAGGCCCAAGCTTCAAAGCAACAACCTGAGCGGACCTACCGAAATGAACATGAGCAGGAATCAAACTAAAAACCAGTGCCGAGGGGGTGGCAAAAAGACAAAAATGGTGACAAAGCAAACCCGGACATGGATGTTAGCGACAAGTTGTTAGCTCAAAGCTAACTAGCTGGCTAGCTAGCCTTTAGCTATATTTTAAAGACAAAAAAAAGCCACGTGGAATCTAGATCATTTCACTGTAGCTAGTGTGTTCGCGCATTATTGGCGCATTATTGTCATTTAAGTTATAGTAAAATCAAACATGAACATTTCTTAATTCATTATTTTTGTCTCAATCTGTGTTAGCTACTCACCACAAAGTGCTCACCCGGATGCGACTAAGGCGAAGTAACGTAATACAAACGTGACACGGGATTGGCTGTCGTCCGCGGAAGCCCGCCCCCCGCTCTCTCTGATTGGTCAGAAGATAATGGGAGGAGCGCTTGTTAGATGACGTGGACCACGTCACATTCTGGGAAGTGGATCAGCTTTCTTCAATGCTCTCCAACGTGGCTGCTGTAACGTGGTTAGACGTGTTTCTCCAGAGGGAAATTACCAGAGACAATACATTTTTATTTGAAAAGGTTTTAAACAAAAATCTACAAATAAAAAAATCTCAAATGAATGCATTCAACAGAAGTCCAAAATCCAAATCATCATCAGTCCCCAGTCATGACAACATTTCTTGGGGGTGCCCAAAATTATGCAAGGACCACTGTTTTTATAGGACTTATGAGGCTATATCCATATTAAGACATGGGTTTTTAAGAACTGATGGTGTATCGGATTCTGTGCTTTCCTTGGATACCTTTTTTTTTCCAGTTATGAGACTTAAGAGACAACGGGTTGTCACTGTGTCTGAAGGTGTTCCTATATTCTAATATATATATGCAATATAGTAATGATAATGGTGAGAGTAAGTGTGTCGTACAGTAGCAAAATATCAACCCTTATGAAGTAACTGAGGCTATAATGGACAACTGAGAACCGTGCCTTGTAGTACATGAGATAAAAGCACTATAGTAGTCGTAGACCTATTTTGGATTTCATATAGCGAGTGGGATTTGTTGTCCATGCAACCATCATTTTGCTCTGTCATTTCTTCTATGGAGTCAAACAGACACCCCAGGATAGAGCTGGCTGCCCCGCTTTACACCAGCGTGTACCAGACCACCACAGAGTCACTGAATATCAGACACGGACTCCAAGTCCTCCTCAGTAGATGAAGGTCCTTCATGTGGAGGTTATCTATGTTCTCAGACTTCTCTAGCTTGTTGTTGTTTTATATCTCTATATAAACTCCCTGGAAGCTCACAGTTGTATTTAAATCTGCTTTATCCTTAAAATGAATGTTTTGCTCTATTAAATTATGGTTGTACCGAACCAGCATGTAGTTAATTAGATGAACGACCTCTTTGGAGACTTCCTATGCCCCCAGCATACAGCCATGGTAGATGAAACTGGGTCAGTAAATATTGTGCTTATTATACTATGCCTTTGCAAAACAAATGTTACAACTTTACAATAAAACTTTAGTTCTTTCTGAGCTTAGTGTAAAGTATAAAAGCCACAGTGGCTGTATCTATTCTGAGGCCTCAGCAGGGCACACAGAAGTATTCATATCTCATAATGAATTAATTTCATTACAGCCTCACCTCTGTGCATGATGCGCACTGAGAGCGACTTTCTGACAGTTGCGAATACACGTCTGACCCAAAAATCAAAGTCTCGCGTGATCAGGCCGTACGAGATTACAGAGTGGGAGGGCTGCATGGAGAGAAGACAAAACAAAAGCCACACATTTCAACCAACAGGCGCTGGTCGCTTTTTATTTTTTGTAAATCAAAACACATTTGATCAATTATTCGTATCAATTATCGTGTAAAAACAACAACAACATTATTTTGCATCATGCCTAGTAGCACGTCTTTGCTGGAGGCCGACGAGGGAGAGTCCGAGGTCCCGCCGCCGCTAGAGCACGCTTTCGCCGGTATGGGCCTCGAGGAGCACCACGGCACCCAGAGCCAGACCCCCGAACAAGCAGACGAGAACCTCTCCTTTCACCACCACCACCACCACCATAACCACCACCACCACCAGCTCCCCGCGGTTCCTCATTTCAACCTCCTCGGTACGGTCCTGGACCTGAAGCCCCTGCCGCTGCACCGGCCGCCCTCGGGAGATGAAGTGAACATCACGGCAGCGCCCGAAGACGAGGAGCCCGAAGTTGGAGCCGACTCCTCGGTCTGCGGCGGTAGCTTGTTGTTAGCGCAGGCCCACCTCCACCGACACCTCCCATCGGTGCCGGTTGGCTCCGGGATGCCGTCCGGGATGGAGCCGCCGCACGTCGAGACGGTGTTGCTGTACAACGGGGACGAGCGGGATGATACGGTTGTCGGCGGCAGCGCCCTACCACCGGCTAGCAGCATGGCGATGCTACCGTCCGGCGTGTACGGGGAGTCGGGCTACGAGGCCGAGCCTTCGCTGTTGAGTCGGCGAAAGAGCGTCAACACCACCGAGTGTGTGGCCGTGCCGAGCTCCGAGCACGTCGCGGAGATTGTGGGCAGGCAGGGTGAGTCCTCCGCGGTCCGTCGGGAGGTTTCTGGTCGGATCCGTTGAGCTAACGATGCTAATGAGAGTTTGGACGAAAGTTGGTGGGAAGATAGTTCAGGCAGCAGTAAAGAAAGCAGGATAACGTGTGTATATAAGAGGGAGAACAGGGCAGGGAATGAAAACAGAGTCATTCATTTATGTTGGAGTGTTTTTAAAAAAAGTTATGATACAACGTGTAAGTTAATTTAAGTTTATTTTGTGAATCAAAGCTAACTGGGCAGTGACTTGTTGTCACTGTTAGCTAGCTAGCTCAACGAGTGCGCGCTGTTTTACATCATTAATTTACACTTTTATACGTTTTACACGGGACATCCTACTAGATCTGATTGACTTTAAACATACAAAATAAAAAAATTCTATAATTAAACCAAACTATCATTCAGTATATTCAGCTGTGTTACCACAATCAGCGTTAGCTAGAAACAGGCTAGGCTAGCTTAGCACTCCTTCTAACTGGGTCAACGCCACCCTCGCCCCAAAACACCCTCCACAAAAGTTTACATCACAAGTTATAATCAACCACCAGACCCCCCCCCCCCCTCCCCGGTCAGTGTCTCCTCGCTTTGACAGCTCCTATGTATTATGGATGTTTTTGTCTGTGCTTCGCTGACACTGAGTCTGTCCTGAGTCGTGGCTTGTCGAGCTAAAGCAGGCTCGGCTTTGTCTCGGAGGAGAACATGAAGAGCAGTGTGTTGGTCACCATTGCTTTGCCACATCAGCTGTAGGTTATAGTTAGCTCCATGACATAACCAATGCTTCGGAGTTCCTCTAAACACGACTGGCCTTTCTTAGGTATCCCACGCATTTATCTGGGCTTTTACATAAACTTTACACAGCTCAATGGTAGGGTTGGGAGAGTGTTGTTATGTCGGCTTTGAGATCAGATGGGGGAGGGTGCACATACTGCAGTGTTGACAACAACAGGAAATGGCTCTGGTAATGATGTTGGACTCTCAACCACAGCTGAAGGAATATTTAATTTATAAGCTATGCAACTTCTTAATGACATTAGTAGCTGCATACTGAAATTGCAGGTGCTGTGATCTTTTTTTTTTTTTTTTTTAGTTCAATATGAAGATGTTGTTTTTGAGTATTGAAGTTTATTATCACGTGTATGTTTTGTTTTGCGGTACATTTTTGAAACAGAATTGGAAATAATCCAAGTTTCCACCATATTTTCCATGTGTCTCTTTAACCAACAGGCTGCAAGATTAAGGCACTTCGAGCCAAGACCAACACCTACATTAAGACACCGGTGAGGGGAGAGCAGCCTGTCTTTGTTGTGACAGGGCGCAAAGAAGATGTGGCCATGGCTAAGAGGGAGATCCTGTCTGCAGCTGAGCACTTCTCCCTCATCAGAGCCTCTCGAAACAAGACGGGCCCTCTGTCAGCTGCGACCGGCCCAGGAACCCCCTCTCTACCTGGACAGACGACCATTCAGGTCAGCAAGCATGTGATTATGAGTCATGGTGTTGGTCACCGTCAAAGATATGAAACAGACATTCTTATGCAGTGAATCACCTAACGTCTTTCTAATAACTGAGGGTTGTGTGTGTTTCCATACAAGTACGTTTGTTTTTTAATGAAGGAGGCTTTGTTCGTTTTATGTTTGTCATTTAAAGTATGTATAGTTACCCGTGTATTATTTCAACCCTACAGGTGCGGGTGCCGTATCGTGTTGTAGGGCTGGTCGTGGGTCCCAAAGGTGGGTCTTTTTTTTTATTCATTCTGATCCAGGTTTCAGCTTTGGTATTCGTTTCGATAATGATTTCTGTTTGTAAAACGACAAGCTTGTGTAGCTACAGGTATGGACAGGCGTGTGCCAGCATACACCAACAAAGCCAAACTGTAATTTTAGAACAAATTATGGGTTTCAATGGCAGAACAAGTGTAATTTCTTCACCAGGTGCAACGTGCAAAGTAAACCTGTATTTTGGTTTTATTAAGTTACGTTTGTTTTGCACAATGTGTATTTACAATAAGGCAATATATTTTATATGTCTTTATGAGTTTCATACTATGACAATGAGGTGTGGGGGACAGAAAAAAAGCTCTCAAAAGGCGAATTTGTTCACATTTAATATTTAATATTAAAGTAATGCTAATGTTAATAAATGGGACACATTGCAATAATACATAACAGGTTTTTGTTTCTTTCAGAGAATCTTTACCTAATATGTCTTAAGTTCCTCAGAGCTTCTCACATAGTTTTAATATGCTCAGCTCTACTCCAGGAGGTTACGTTTATTGCTGTCACCAAGTCTTTAACCCCTTGCCCTGTTGACATTCCCACCTCCGTGTCAGAAAGTCCTTGGGTTGATTTGTAAATTGAGCAGCGGTTCTCAACCATGTGCCATTAACCTGCAGAGGGTGAGGTAACAAGTCAAAATGACATCAAATTTGAAAATAGCAAGGAAACGCTGAGCCACACACACAGAAGAGGCAGTTTAGAAATGTTTAGTGTTGACAAGACAGAGATAAAGTGTCTGTTACTTGACCATTCAGTTTGTGAATTCACTACAGTGTTTGTTTCTGTGCTGCTGCTTCTTTCTTTCTTTTTTTTTTTTAACCATTGAGCCATATTGCAAAAGGAAATGAAAGACGTACATTGTTTTTAGATATATATAGTATTGATATTTGAGAAGGTTCCTATACTAAACTCATGGTGTTTAGGTTGAGTGGTACGTGCTTCAGACAGCTGAGTCACCAGGACCGCCTGCAGTTCAGTCTTGTAATTATTGCACAGCTGTGCTTCTTCCAATTTCAATGTTAGATGTTATTGTTAGAAAGAAACGAGCGTAATTACTGAAAATATATAACGCTGTTGTTGTGCCATCTTTAGCATTACTCTGCTTTGGCTAATTTGTCAACTTGACACAACTGGGTCAAGCTGTAGTGAAGACGGGACAAAGTACACAGATCTGTGCACGTTTTTGTTTTCTAATTTTCTCCAGCTATTATATTTAGCACTATTAATACTTATTCTTTTCTCCTTGATACTTAACTATTCTTTTGTCCTCTTCAATGTGTTACTTGTGTATGTTGATGCTCAGATGTATATTTCTCAGGAGTGGTTTAAATTTTGTGTTTGAGTTGTAGTACAAGGGTCTTAGTCTGGTCATATCTTTCAGGGGCAACCATCAAACGTATTCAGCAACAGACCCACACGTACATTGTAACACCGAGTCGTGACAAAGAGCCGGTGTTCGAGGTCACTGGGATGCCGGAGAACGTGGACCGGGCGAAGGATGAGATAGAGGCGCACATTGCCCTCCGCACAGGCACCTGCGGAGGGATTGAGGCTCCTGGTGTGGACAACAATGACTTTCAATTCAACGGGACAGACGTCAGCTTTGAGACTTCTGCGATGCCAGTGGGGATGGGGGAGGCTGGGTGGCTTCATGCTGGTGCATCATCACCGGGTGGCGGTGGCTTGCTGCCAATGAGCATCAACGGTACTCAGCGAATCAATAGCAATATTAACAGTGGTGTCAGGATGTCTTCCACCTACCGCAACGACAGCTCCAGTTCCCTCGGCAGTGGCTCCAGCTCAGCTGATTCTTTCCCTGGCAGTGGGAATGGTAACCGGATGGCAGATTTCAGCCCGACCTGTGCGTTTAACGCCAACGCTAACAACAACAACAGTAATGGCGGCACCGCGAGTTTCTGGTTTGGCGACGGCCTTCTTCCTGTGGGGTCTGAGGAGCTCGTCACCCTGGGAGGTGGAGGCTCTCCGTCAGGATTTGACCCGTTGACCATCTCCACTGCCCAAGCCCCGCACCCTGGTGCACAGCCGCAAGTCTGGAGCCCCTTTGTGGACCACCAACCCCCCCAGGCCTTTGATTCTCGCCAGTCTCAGGTGGGTGAAATTCAATTGGTGCATATAGTTTATGGCACCCTGCGTAGACATTACAGAACCTCACAGGTTAAAGCAAATGACAGTTTTAATCTTTTATTGTAGACGACATGCTTTGGGTGTTCGTTTATTTATTTTAAATGTGTAATCTGAGAATCAGGTTGAAACAGGTATTTTTAAGATGCTATTTTCTTTATGATGGTCATCTAATGACTGTTGTCATCGTCGATGTCTCCAGACCAGTCAGCCTGGGACTCCCCGGCTCTCTCCAACCTTCTCTGGGACAGAAGCCTTGGAGCACCCTCAGGCCCAGCGTGTTCACCGAGGGCCCCTCGTCTCGGCTGGGACCCTCGATGCCCACAGGTTCCCCTCCTACAGCTCGGCCTTCTCCTCCTCCAGTGAAAGCACCGCTTCCTCTTCCTCTCCACCCGAATCCTCCCTTTCCTATCGACCGGGGCTTGGATCAGCAGTGAGAGGACAGGAGATCTGTATCCACTGTATGGATAACCAGGTGATCGCTGCCTTGGTTCCCTGCGGCCATAACCTCTTCTGTCTAGATTGTGCCACCAACATATGCCAGGGTCCAGATGCCGTCTGCCCTGTGTGCCTGTCCCCGGCCACACAGGCCATTCAGCTCCGCAATATGTGATTTTAATCCATTTACCTTGACGGCTGATGAGGGATCAGCATCCCCGACTCTTTCAACTCATAACATGTCTGGGGAAATTACAAAACTGACCCCAAATCAGTATCTAGGTATGTCCTCATCCCGGTTTTGTCCAAGCTGGTGTTTGGTTGACAAAGGTGAGGACGAATAGGTGAATAAGGAATGATCTGTATTTAGGGCATGGGTAAGGGTGTGCAGCCCGTTCATGTGCCTGCTATTGTGAAGTCTTCTTCCTTGATTGATTTGATCAATGGGAGGGTTGGAAACCCTCTGTGTAGCATTGGGTGGGGTGGGATATATATATATATATATATATTTTTTTTTTGCTCATCATGATTTTTGATTTACATTTTCTTCTCCCTGAAATATCTAGTTATCAGTTTCTGCCTACCTATATTTTATTACATTTTTAATGTACTTATTAGATACATGATGTTGGCTTTTGGGTCAGAGTTTATTTTTTTTTGTCTACATCTCAAAAGTTTTATCCATTTTTACATATTTCTTTTGCTGCTACATTTGTTTTTATGTGCTGAAATATGGCCCCACCCCTTTGCCTCTCTATTATTGTGCTCACAGCAGCAAATTTTAAAGGAAAAAAGATGAGGTGAGCATGTTTACATATAGTGAGTCCCACATATGAATATGTATAAATTTATAGTATTCTTAACCACAGAATTTGAATGCCTGCTGTAGTAAATTGGATATAATGTACACATACCACACTATCCAGGCACTACTTTTTAACAGCATATGATTTTAACATGTGCCAGATCCTAAATTAGAATTTTTAAAGCATCGCAGATATTAATAGCATATTGATACCCATACAAAAACACCCACAGAGGGTTTTTTAAACTAAGTTGGTCAAAAGATGTCACACTCCAATGGCAACCTCTTGTTGCCCCGGGTCTCTTTCTTCCCAGATTAGAACCAACAAGTGGGCAACTCCTTTTTGTACCAGGATGTTACACCACTTCAGTATCGCCACGTTGCTTTCCATTTCTACTTAAAAAAAAAAAAAAATGTTTACGGTTAACTTGTGCCTAATTCCGTTCTGAGTAAACAAAAGGAAACAACTGGTTCAGCGGACACAGTGTTGCTCTGTCTTAAAACAAACTTGTGGCCTTTTTTGGAAAGCCTGTAATTAACTGACAACACTATCTACAAATCCAGATTTTGGCTCAAAAGAACACAAGCTGACAGACTGAAGTCTTAATGTATTTCTTGAAGTTCAATCTCCTAAATGAATCTCGGTGGAACAAAGGTTATATCACAGGGATGTTTTCTTTTGCTTCCTATTTTGTTGAGCCTATTTACCGCCTATTGCTTTATCTTTTTAGCAACAAACACTCCCATTTAATTCATTTGTTTTCATATTTCTTCCTGCTTTTTTTTCCCCCTGCCTTTTTTTTGTTGTTTATATGTCGATTTACATCCATGTGCTGGTTTTCAGCTAGAACGATGTGCACAGCTCGTACCTTTGGTAAACATTCCTCCTCTCCTTTATTGCAGACACTTTAGTAGATGTTAGTAGTATGGCTACATAATAGTTAAACCTCACCTGGGAGCAAAAAGAGCTGATATTCTTTGAAACCTCTACTATGAAGACAGCTGTGATCTGAAACGAATCCCCGTACTGTACAGACGACCTGCTGATTTTAGTTCAGCCATCTCAATAGCACCCTTTTCTTTCACCTGAACTGCTCCACCCTGTGGCCGTCTCGTTGCAGCCATTTTGTGTCCTTGTTGGTAAGCAGTCAGCAAAATAATTCCGTTGGGATGCAAAATTGAGACGAAGGCCACCCATGGCTTTACTCCATTTTTATTTAATCCCACGTCATTTACCAGGCCTATGCAAAAATCGTCTCAGTATGTTAACTATCGAGGACGCGCTAGATAAATTAAACTCCTCTGGTTTTAATTACAGAGCTCAATCTTGAGCTTTGACTTGTAGACAGACATATCACGTCTGCTTTTTCTACTACATTTCAGTCGGGGGTCAGCCTTGCATCGATGAGATGTTTCAATGGTACACACTTTTGATTTTCATGTTTCATCAGCTCATTTTCTTTTGTCCTGTGCTCTACTAAGCATAGATCCCCCCCCCAATATCACACTATTGACCAGACTGGACTCCACACAACATTCTGACCTTTTATTTTATTTCACCCCCTTTCAATGTGTGCATCTGTCCGTTCCTCCGCCTGAAAAGTGAAGACAAGGTACAAATTGGTGGAAATCATCTCAAATCTTAGCTTTAAACACCAGTGTCTCTATCTAGACTTTTTTTTACAGGATTGAATGAGTTGACGGACATTTCAAAAAAAGGGGAAGCAGCTGGAATAATTTCATCTCTTCGTCAAGGTCAATACTGTTGCTTTACTGTGTGGACATTGGACTGCAGTTCCTCTTAGCATTCCAGCTGTAAACAGTATTTGGGTGTTATTCCATCGCTTAGCTCCGTTTCCCTAATATCGCCTCTTTCATGGATGAGTGAGCTTTCTTGAGGAAATGGAACCAACGAGTCCCAAAAGTGCAAAAAAAAGTGCTTCTGCCCCCCTCTGGTCTTCTCTCCGTCCTTTTTATTTTACGTCTCTCAGATCTACGAAGGGTCGATCTCTCTTTGCTCTCTTCCTCTGAGGGAATGCAATACAGTGTCAGCCCTCAGTTTATTGACATGAATCTAATGACATTTTTGTGTATGTATCATATAATATTACTGTTAATGACTGATAAATATACAGAATTATTTTTATTTTGTTACATTTCATATATATACATAAATATATCTATATTAAAATGTTTACAATAAGATTTTTAAATTTTGTTTTTTACTTTTTCTCCGAGTGATTTAAGTGAATGAAGAGTTGGAAACCCAGAAATGTTGCAGGAGGGTGTCAATGCTATCTGCTTGTAGTCTAGTTATTAGTTTACAGTATTGATGATAATAGTATTGATAGCTGCCGTTAACCTAGTGGAAAATGGAATGTGCATCACAAGCATGTCTTCATAATGTACCGCCAATGTAAAACGTCACACTGCAACTGTATAAAGGCCAAGGATTCAAGCTGCCTGTCATGTCTGTACGCCACCAAATTAAGAACGGTATACTGTAAAATGTATCTTAGATTATCTATATATAAATACATATATTGTTAAGCTGTACCAACAGTTCAAAGTATTTGCTAATTTTACTACACTTTTGTTTTGTATATGTAGGGGGAGTCTTATGGCATATAAATTCTTCAAATTGAGTCAGGAGTTTAAAAGCAGACTATATTTTATAACGGCCTTTTAAGTTATTGCGGCCAAAGCACTGATATTATATATTTGCTGTAAAGAGAATTTAAGAGTTTTATTTTTCTGATATTAAAGTTACTTAATAAAGACGGTTTCATTTAAAGCCACGTCTGACTTGTGATTCCTTCATTTTGTAAAATGGTGTTTATTTAAATATGCGTGTCCGACAGGGCTCTCAGATGCTCATGTGTTGGTAATAACAGTGATGTTTTTATTAGTGAAACATGTCAATAATTAGAGAGACATTGTGAAAAAGATCTTCCAGAACATGCAAGATGAGTGTAAGCACAAATATTAAATGTTTGAACTCCGGGCTTCTGGTTCTGATTGTGGTTCTTTGGTCATAATTCCTACCGCATGAAAAAGTCCCTTTGGCCAAAAAGTTCAATTTATTGGGTCCAAGTTTGCAGTTGAAAACGATACAAGGTGCAGTACTCACAATGTAGTGGTTCTTCACATTATTGCCTCTCTAATGTTTACACTTCAATGGAGCTCCTAATGGGGAACAAAACGGGGAAATGTTCTTGTTCCCATTGGATATGTTTCTGGTGTAAAACAAAGATTCTCTGGCCCATGTCCCCGTAGAGGGCTGCAGTACTAGAGTCCAGCCTCAGGACATTTTTTCTATTGTCTCAGATTTGGACTCGTTGGTATTTGCACTTGGACTTGGCCATTGGTCTTGCCAAATATTCCAGATGGTCTTGGAATTGATGAAGGTGGTCTTGACAACAGCACTGCTGTACACGTCACAGGGAGAGCTACAGAAGCCTGTTCAAAGGTTGTGAAAAAGGTCTACGAGGGTTTGAATCTCTGAACCTTGCAGCACGAAGACAGGAAAAAAAAAAAAGATTTGAAACACCAATTTGGCTTTGATAGCTCTTAATGAAGATTGAACAAAATAACACACACATCAACTTGCAGTGTGTGGGGATAGGATTGAAATAATTTCACTTCTTGATGGCGCCTCAGACCAGTTGAAGCTGGTCTAATTAAAAAAACTGAGTGATGGACAGCAGACCACACTGCACGTCTTTGACCATAATCTGCAAACACACAAGTGTTTTCAGTTGTCGTTGCTTAGACGTCCGCTCAGGTTGTAGGAGGGTGGCGCTCTGCTGGAATCTCAGGTGTCACTAATAATGGCTCCGCTCTATTCAAGCCAGCATGCCCAACACCAGGACCCCCCGAAACCGCAGCAACTAATTCAGCCATCATCAATGTTATTTACACCTACTGTGACAAAAAGACTTTAGTGAAACGAGTATGATAAAAGTGTAACGAACAGGAGAGGGAGGGGAAACACAGTCAAGGTTTACCATGAGCATAGTTGTGTTAGCTTTTTAGTCAGTAAGGTGTTCCTGTGTGTGCGCTTGAGTAAATTGTCACACAAATGGCAGAAAGTTGCTTATTTCTAACTGTCTTTACTTCTTTTTAATCGAACCATCAAATGGATTTTGAATTTGGTGCCTGATCAGCCCTCTTCTCAAGCCACTTTTTCAGGGCAGACAGACAGTTATTATCCTGGTAAACACGTTCCCTTGTTGAGAAAATAAACAGGTCACCACTTAGAGAATACCACTCCATGTTTAATTACAGACTCTCACATAAGAAATACAGGTAAAATTTATATCTGCAATCTGTCATAGTAGTCAACATCAACTCATTTGAGCTGTTGTCTTTAGGCTCCTATAATAACTGCAAGTACTATAAAAACATCTGTCCACCTTAAAGCACAACAGAAAATAACAGATTATTTCTCCAGACACAATTCAGAATCACTTCTTTCAGTAACATAAAATAAAATCATCAGAAACGTTCCTGCCATTTAATCAATCAAGATGCATAATTATGAGAATAAATCCCAAAAGTTGGACTCCCTGATGTAGGATATACATTTTTATTTTATTTTTTAACAATGCTATTCAAATGATGAAATAATCAAAAGGTGGGACAGAGATGGGGGCACAGCAGAAAAAGACCCCAAATTTCAACTAAACCTTTAACAAATTCAATTTCAGCTGTAACCCACCAAGACAGCATTGTTTAAAAAAAATTTAAAAAATCACACGTGTTTATGGACATAAAACCAGATGAATGTCATACGTTAACGGATGACCAGAAAGAATATACTGTATGGCAGTTTGGTGTGAAAAATAACAAGCATGGGCAGATGTTTGTGAGTAAATAAAAAAAAAAAAAAACTGTACTCTAATCAATATGTAATCTATTACAAATGCCTTTAAAAACAAAATGTATCACATGCAGCGCGGGGGCTGAGAGGAGGGGACCGAAATCAAATTATTTGTGTCAAACCAACTTTGCCTGCGAGAGAGAAAATATGCTTGTACTTGTTTTACTTTCAAGAGAGGCTCCACACTAATAACTGACTCGTTACTGTATTTATATAAAACCTTTTTTCTTTTTAGGGGCTTGGCTGCTAAAATTTATACAGTCAGATTTGATCATTTACATCAGTTATGAATGTGTAGCTCTGTGCGCATTTAATGCCGTTTTCGTAAACCAGACACAGACAACACACCTGCTGCGCTGTATACAGCAAGTGCTTTTTTTTTCCCTACTCTCCTCAGATAGTCCGGTTTCCCTGTGTGGTACAGGGCGAGTTCTGTATTTCAAAAAGGGCGTAGAGATAAATGGGTCTATTTTCCATTAAAATTCATGCAAACATTGACATGCACTTCAAAAACAAAGTTATTTACATGGATTAAAAAGGAGGGGAAAAAAACTGCAATCAAAAATAGAAAGACTGCAACTCAGAACAGCCAAAAGAAACCCTACAGATGTGTGTGTCAATGGCTATGAGTGAAAGGGTAGAAGCAGATTTAAAAAATAAAAAGGTGTCATAGTGTTACATATGTTTTTAATACAAATGCATCACAATTTCACGTCTGCTCACAATCCTATGTAAAATATAAACCAACCTATTCACTCCCTTGTTCATATCGCACGACAACCACCTCAAAATAAGGGTTACTGAATTAAAAACAAGAAAAAAAAGTAAAGTGCTAAAAATATAATACAAATCAATTAATAAAAGTAACAAAATAAAACCAAGAAAATATATGAATATTGCTGGGAAACCATCTCAAATTCTCTCATCTTTATCAGTAAACTACATACAAGAGACCTGGATCGAGTAGTATATATGTGGGCTGCAAGTCATAAGATATTTAAATACAATGATTCTCATCGAGTGTGGAGATACTGCTGCGTATGTTTGGAGATAAAAAAAAAAAAAAAAAAAAAGATAGAACTGAAATACAAGTAAACATAATTAAGCTTTAAAATTCAAATAAAAGAAAACCTCCAAATTAACGAAACTGGGGCAAAGTTCAGCAGCTGACTGGACGTCTTCACTCTCATGATCACGCTACGCTCACAGTATGTTTGTAAGCGATGAATACTTTGGTTGGCCAAAACATTGATAAACCCTGTTCCTTGTACTGTGATCAGCTGTGTGGCTCTTCTTGCTCCCGTCTTACTGAACGGTTCAAAGGAGGAGCGTGAGATTAATCCTTCATGGCAGCATAGAAGAAGGCAGGAACCATACACCAGGTGACCAATGATCACTTAAATGAGAATCTTGTCATCATTTGTGGTTATTTGAGTGAAAACAGATGTACTGTATCATCACTGGGTAATTCATTCAACTTTGTGTGTCATGAAAAAAAAAAAAAAACATAGCTGTGACATGTAGAGGAGGAAATAATTGTCTGTGTCCAAAAACCTCAACTCTAACTTTAGTCCGAAATCTTAGTTAATTGAGAAGGGGAGAAAATAGATTTGTCAGGCCCACTGCCAGTTTATAAAAAAGGTCCAAACCTGTAGTTTGACAACACCTGACCTAGAAGAGTCCATAGACTTGACCTTGTTTAAGAGACCCAGTAAAAGAGGTTGAGAGTCGGCTTTAGGCATGATGCATTATGTTCTCTGTGATATTTGTGGATTGGCTGTGAACGCCCCAGTATGACCGGTTCCAGCTGGGTGGTCCCCCAACCCTGACCAGTGACCGAGAGGCAGCGATCAGCATTGATGTTGAGCAGTGATCCTCGCTGTTCGGAGTGCTGCTGCTTTTCTATCCAGTCATGACGGCGGACTGAACTTGCTTGTCATCCCAGATGTAAAGCTAACAGCTTGAATGGAAACTGACCGCAGTACTCTGGTGCCCAGACACTGGATATGAGAGCCTCTGTGTACAGCGTCTCATCCCTCAGCTGTATGGCACTCGAATGTCCTTTTATTGTTCAGTGAATCTAATGTCTGAGTAGTCGGTGGTTCTGGACTCCGGGGACGCTGAGTAGTCGGTGTACATTCCAGTTTCATGGGATCTGCAGGTCATCTATGTGCATGTTGTGATGCTTTATAACTGTAGTTATATGCAACGTATTTTTATAGTCATGATTCCAGTCATCACAAATCAAAGCCATCTATCAAAAATATAGCTAAATATATCTTTAATATATGGCTTTGGCTCATTTTAGTGTCACTCTTGCTTAAAAAGTAAAAGTAGGGGCCACAGTGCACAACGGTGCCTCAAACAAACCTGAAAGTATTTTTTTTTTTCCATGTGGGACAGCTTCAGTGTCACAGCTGTTTCACTGGCTTCTCCATGCAAAACAGTTCACTGAGGAAGACTTTCCATTGCCACTGTAGGTTGCAGTGTGCTGCTGCAGCTGTGAAGGTCTCAGTCCAGAGGTTGTGGGTCTGCAATAGGCATAGTGTGCAGAACCTCATCCAGTAACTGTAGAGCTCTGTGCAGGTGGATCTCGATCCAGCAGGGGGTCTCCTTGATGCTCTGGCGGGGGTAGTCGGGCCCCCAGCCCTTGACAAAACTCATCCTGAGGATACACAGCCTCCGGAGGTCGTCTACCCCAATACCGGCTGCTGCTGACAGACCTGAGAGGACGGGAGGAGAGGGAGTCGCATTCAGGTCAGTGTGATGTTGCATGTGATGTTTTTTACATTCAAACTTGAAGGAAATTTTAAAATACTGGATTATTAATCAATATAATTATGGGCAAATTAATCGATAATGGAAATACTTGCATATAGTTTATGTTAAAGTCACAACCTACAGGCCAACACTATATGTAAAAACCTTCAGCTTCATATTTGGAACAGTGAAGCCAGCATATATGTATCATCCAGTAGGAATAAATATAATTCTGTACTGCTGTCGTATCAAATATTGAAGAGCATGTTGATTTAATTTCATTTGGATGCAAATTGAGTTGAACATCTGTCTGAGCAATTCTCTGCAAGTACATGGCTCACACTCACTGGCAGTAAAATTTACATCCAACTTGCATCATAAGTCTTACTGACAGCTGGAACCACTGCCACGCTGCCTCTACCTCCCACTGTCCCCGTGTGTGACTGTGAATCTGTATTTGCAGTTACAGTATCTTACTAATAGCTGGAGCTATCCCTCCTACTGATCCAGGTCCAGGAATATTCCCAGCCACTGCGGCTGCTTGGGCTGCAGCTGCTGCTTGAGCCGTGGCAGCCTGCTGTTGCATCTGTCTGTGGCACTGACGAAGGTCAAACACCTGGCAGGAGAGAAGAGACTGTAAATACTGTACATGCAACAGCAATTACCCCCCTCCTAAGGAAAATTGTCACCACCACAGGCAGCTAATCAGGGAGAACCTCGGTAAGAGCTGGACTGTGTGAAGATGTACGATTACCCCTAATGAGATAATGTGAGGGGAAAAGACGTGGCAGTATGGAGGAACGTTTCCTGTTTAAACCAATGTCAATAAAGAGCACACTGCCTGAGGGGATTGCATGGAAAGGAGTGTTTGCAGTATGCACTCAGTCTTTTCCCCAAGAGGCGAAAGAACACTATATGAAATGTCAACCTTAAGTGATGTCCTCTTTTTTTTCCTTTTACAGTCCAATGACCCATGTCCCTACCTTGATGTAAGCGCTGGGGTAGATTTTGTGAACAGCGTCTCCAGGGGCTCGGCCAGCCTCTCTGTCCAGGTAGTAACTCTGAACAAACACTGCGTGGTCACTGAGGCATCGCACCCACACATCTCCCTCGCCCTTACATTCCAGCTGAACTCCTTTTCCAATGTGAAGCCTGGGAGAGAGCAAAGACGACAGATCCATGTGGTTTTTCATTGTAAATACAATCAATTTTACCTAAAAGCATTATTTGCACCCAGCAAAATATGCTACCAAACAGCGATACATGCTCCATAATATGAAAATGCATTCTCTCTTAATATGTTGGGATATTTATATCTGCATAAACACACATCTAGAGATACCACCAATGACAAAGATTTAATGTGTTGTTATTATAGAGCCTGTTTCTGTAAAACAAGATTAGCTCTGTGATTCTTTCCCTGCTTTAAAATGCCATTTTATTTCACAAACTACATTAGCTGTGAGGATTTAATTATTTAGCTCTAAATATTGAAGGTAACCGGTCACCTACCTTGCTCTCTCAATAGCCTCAGTGCGATGTACGTTGCTGAGCTGGCCCAAACAGAACCTGTCCCCTCCTGAGGGGTCGACATAGCCGTCCACTGTCACTATGGGGCAAGAAGACGGCACCTTAAATGTCTCCCCAACTTGAACGTCCATCTCGAAATAGGCAATGGAGCACCAGTAGTCAGGAGCTGAAACAGAGGGAAGAACCTGATGTCAATGGTTTTAAGTCATGGATGAAAATAATAATAATAATAAAAATAATAATAACAGTGCTGCCACTTGCCCTATGTCAAGGCAATATTATTATTATTATTATTATTATTATTATTAACTCATCTTCTTTCAGGTTGTAGATATAGAATGAAAATTCATAATTAATTAATTATAATTTATAAGTGTATTGACCAGGGCTGTCACTTCATACTTGAAATTTGTTCAAACTTTAAACTGTAATGCACCCGTTTGAATTCAAAATGTACAGTCTGTAAGAACAACAGACAGTTTAAAGTAGTCTTTCTTGTGATCCAGTAATGGTATGTTGTTTACTACGAAGAACATTGGAATAAAGTGGACAAATGCGACACAGAGCATCTGAGAAGCCGTGTACTTCTGTCGACTTTGCAGCTGTCAAATTCTACAACGACAACCAATCAGCGGACTCATTTGCTAACGCTAGCTCGCCACCCGAGTGAGACAGCGGAGCGGACGCACCACAGACGTGTGGAGCAACGCCAAGTGTGCAACCTCGTCTGACTGGTTCTATCAGGCACAATCAGCTTCAGCCAAAGAAGAAGCTCGTAAAAAGCCCATCACTGATAAGATAGCAAGATATATATGCAAGGATATGTGGCCCATTGATGTGATAAGAGCAGGTTTTATGTTATGTTTACAGTTGTTTTGAGATTGTTTGAATTAATTCAGTAATTTCTATCAAAAGTGACAGCACTAGTGATGACTAAATGTTTGATATTTTCATTTGATAAATGACTAAAATTACAATTTATTGAATTTAAATAATCTCACCATTAAAACTAAAATACTAAAACTACAGTACTTTATCTGACTGTTTCTGAACTACATGCTATAACATAAAAAGGTGAATTTGCCATTATGCCAATACAAACTTAACACAGAGGCAACCAAACTGAGCGTATTAACACGGCTGATCTCATTTAACAATGCTGCCTATGATTGATAGCCAAGAGTACTCTGTGAACAACTGAAGCGTGGATAAAAATGTGTAAACAACGACTATCAAATCTCTTCACAAGTTTTCTAATACACCAAAACAAATTCTGTTCAGGGTTTATGTACTTGTGGGCTGTGTGTTCTCACCTGGATGATTGGATATGGGAGGCTGAAAGGCGAGCTCATTATGCACAGGCCCTGGGAAAAACAGGAGAATAATGATTACACACTTCGCACAAAATGAAATACAAGTATGTGATTTGGTTTGTGGATTCATTTACAGCTGCGGCCCCAGTGTGTACTCACAATAGTGTGTTGGATGTGGCATAGGAGGGTGGTGTTGTAGATGACCGTTGGTGTGGTGGGGTATGTTGGGGGGGAAGCTGTTGTTCCTAGTCCAGGTCGAGCTGGCACCTGAGGAGAAAAGGAGAACAGAAGTCAGAGATCCACAGATGAATCGATAGAGGAAGAAACTCACAAATCTCACAGTGACAATTCACAAAACTGAAGCAGAAAATATCTTCAAAGTGAGACAAAACAGACTGACAAACAAGCACACACATAGAAATATTTCACAATTGTATCTTACTGCCTGATCCAGCAGCAATGGCCGGGAAGGATGACGTTGAGGCAGAGGTAGAGGCCTCAGCAGGTGGGAGCAGGTTTGGGGTCGCAAATGATTCAGAGGGGGCCGGGCGGCTGCCAGATGGGGGGTGCTGGATGGTCTGGATGGAGTGCCCTCCATCGATGGAGGGCAGACTCTGCGGCCCATCAAAATCGTACTCGTCTTTAACGATTAGTCCTGAGCTGGGTCCAGAACTGGTCAGTGTCAGTCCTGATAAGTCTGTGGAGCAAAGAAGGGAAAGAGTTTCAACTGCTGCTGCTGTATTTACAATGATTACCTCCTTTAAAGTCAGCTTTTGGTCACAGTTTACTTTAGTGCTCTATTACAAACAGAGAACTGAGACTTTGACATTTCATTTCTTATATTCTTGTCTCGTTTCCAAGGCTTCTACTGAACCTCTCACAAAAAAAAAAAAAAAAAAAAACCCTCCATGTTACCCACCTATGCCAGGAGACACCACTCTCTCATAGTGATAGGGGTTGACACACACATTGTCACACTTGAGGTCGAAGGCAAACTGGCAGTATTTGACGTGCTTCAGTTCATTCTTATGCAGGTCAGGCCACCGCCACAGCCGGGCATAGATTACATGAGGGAACCCTTTACGTCCAGCCACCTGGAAACAACAACAACACCACCACCACCACCACACAGAGTTAGTTCTCCTTACAGCTGGGGCTAAACGTAGTGTTAAAACAATTATTGGCATGCAGCTTATTTTCTAATGTTGTGGTGAAAGGCCGACTACACGAATACACGCCGTCGAAATGCTTTTAAAATGGCTCAAGCGCAACTTGGATCAGATTTCCTTAATCTTCTCACTTTTTTCTTTATTTATTTTTTTGTTCTAAAATAATGATGATTATATTTTATAATCACAGTTTGCGATGTTTACACTGGCAGGTTTCTCATCTCACATTTTGGATGTTGTTAGAGCTCAAACAATAAGCCGACTGCTGGAAAACTATTGTTACTGCTATTTTGAAACAAAAAATGCCCAATGTTTAGGTCCATTAGTGGGGAGGCAGGACCTTCTCCATTGCTGCCCCCTCCCTCTGGAACTCACCCCCCTCCCCAACCTCTCAGACATTCACCCCACTCTGCTTTTAGTCTGTGATCTATCACTCCCCCTTTTTTTCATTGCTCAACTTGTTTTTTATGCTGTTTTGCTTCTTCTATTTATAGTTTTATACTGATATTGCCGATTATGTTGTCTTTGTGTTACCACATAAAGTGCATTTGGGTACCTTTTAAAAAGGGCTATAAAATAAATGCACTATTATTATAAATATACCAAGCAATGAGAATAAATCATAATATTAGAATATATTCACTATTTTCTGGCAAAAACAATAAATGCAGATGAATCTATATAGAAACTGTCATGAGTTGCAGACCTGGATGTTATGCTGAATAACGAATATCGTGGATTTTGTTTTAATTAATGAAAAAAATTTACTGAGGCTATTTATTATTTTTTAAATGTAACCTAATTGAAATGCAATGGATTCTGATGACTTGGTAGTTTACGACTAAAAAGACTGGGAAAAAAATCCCCAAACATTAACAAATGTATTTACACTATTAAGAAGATAACTGGATTCATATTTATGCAGCCGTGTGTATTTAACGATCCAGGAAACCGTATGGTCGTACCTGCAGGCGTCCATCAAGTGTCCTCTGAATGGTCACACATTTGCTGGGATGGGCCCCGTTGGTGGTGATCGCCGTGATGAGGGAGTCAAGCTCGTCTTTTTTCTCCTTCAGTTTCTTCACCAGGCTCTCGATGGCCCGCTTGGCAAACGTCTCGCTCTCGCCACCCTGTCTGTGACACATCAGGCTGTGCACAATGCTCAGGCAGGCGTCGTTGCTGGTAGGTGTGTTGGTGATGGACATCTTGGCTTTTTTTTTGTTGTCTCTGACTGCACTTTCTGGGGAATATGTGTGTGTTGTTGACACAGTTTCACATAATCAGGAAGCCGGAGCAGAGACGATCAGAGATGACCTTGATTAAAAAAAAAAAAAAAAAGCTGCAGCTGAAACAGATCTGTGACTGGAAAACGAGAGGGTTTAACAGGCAAGTTATCAAAACTGTTTCAGGGAGGTGTTATTAACTTTTAAGGTCATTTTGGAGGCTGTAGCTTGCGGTGCTGCTGATAACGTTACAATAAGAGGTCTTTCTAATATTCAGCTCAATGAAAATACATATTAGGAACAACTCTCAGTATAATGCAATACAATTCAACAACAGCACCACGAATTACAACCTCTGGAATTACCATAAAGTTAAATACAAATCTGAACATTATAACCCATATGAAAGATTGCAGTGATATAGATATTTGTTGCAGGGCTGTTAGATTACATTAAGGTAATTAAATGTGTAAATAATACAGGCTGTATATACCTCCGTGTTGTTGTTGTTTTTTTTACCAGAGGTTTGTCGCTGCCTTGTTACTATTGTGTTGTACTACTGAGCAGATTGAGAGCACAGATTAGTTTCCAGTAAAAACCGATAAACACACAATGTTTCTGTTTTGAGGGTCTCGCTGGGTTGGCAGAGAGCATGAACCAGAAACTATAATGCTCCAGTTCACCAAGTTTTTACCTGTATAATAATAACGCTAGCTCACAAACGACCACATGACATGACGGTGTGGTATTTTTTACATTTGCAACTGAGTTTAGAGAAACCCGGAACTGTTTATTGCGGGGTAAAAAGAAAGTTTACGTTGTTGTTTAAGCTAGCGGCGCCACTCTGGCTGCCGTTAGTCCGGGGAAGCTACAGCAGACGGACACAACTAACCGGAAGTGAGCACATATTGTCTTCAAAATAAAAGGCCAAACTTTTTAGAGCAGAAGGACAAACATGTTTACATCGTGTATTAGAAATATGAAAGTCGACTGCTGGCAAACTGAGATTTTAGACATCGAATTATTAACATTAAAAGTGACATTATGTGCTTTTCTTACATAGTGTATACACACACATAGTTCACTACTACTACTAATTTCATTTCTGTCAGTCACATACATTTACTTCTGGCTATATTGTCATATATTGTATTATAAAAAGGTACATAGATAGATAGATGTATGTATGTATTCATCCCCAAGGGGAAATTCACAGGCATGCAAAGTACTACTAATAAAAAATAACATCAACAGGAGGCATGCAAAAGAACCAATACATACCGGTACTTAGACTCTTATTATATTTCTATTTTTTTTACTTTTACTTATATGTAAATACCTATATATACAGACCTTTACTGTTAGATATTGTAATATAAATAATATTTTTATTATGTTCTATTACTTTCTCTTCTTTAACATCGTGTGAGCACCTTGAGCAACTGTAACAAACAAATTTACCCCCCGGATCAATAAAGTATTTCTAATTCTGATATAAAACCAATCTAATGCAGGCTGTGGCATCAGATATAACTTGAGACAACGTTTCCTACCTTTTGAAGGTAACTTTAGTCTATTTACGTTATTCTTTATAAAGCACTGATACGTCTAACTATTTATATATTTAACATATATATTTGTTAAACACATTTGCTCACAACAAACTATGATTAATTGTACTTTTTTATTTTACTGCTGTTGTCAGATGTTTCTTTGATTACTGTTTAACTACGAGTTTTATTTTGGAGAGCCTAACCGGATATAACCGCTTTCATTCATAAAAACTTGACGTCGCAGTTGCTAGCTACCGATGATTGTTGATAGCACCCTGGCTAACGTAGCATGCTACTACGAGGTTAGCATGCGTGTTTGTTTATCACGCTCAGTTCCGCACAAAAATAAAATGCGCAGACTACTTTGTTTGATGCCTAGCAACAAATTAACTGCATGCGACTATGAAAAGCATTAGTTGGTAGTTTAAAATGCAAACTAATTTAAAAAAATAAATAAATAAAAGACACGTAAATAGCTAGCGCTTCACGCTACCTGGAGTTAGCTTGTGTGGCAGCTAGCAGACGAGCCCTGCCTCTGTACCGAGTTACCGAGCCGACGGGGCCAGCGGTGCGGTGCGGTGCGGTGGGGCTGATCCGGTACGCCTCCTGGATTATCCTCATAAATTTCACCAACTGTTTACAGAAGACATGATCCGGGGGGAGAGAGAAAAACAGTCCTTGTCCTCAAGATGTAACCTCACATCCTCAAAACGAGAGCGCGGATCAGATCAGAGTCAAACCTCAGATTTCGTGTCAGACTCACTTCACTCGCTCCTCACTCTAGTTCCTACAATGGCGCGTTGCGCATGCGTAAAATGAGGAAGGTGTGTGTGTGTGTGTGTGTGTGCGTGTGTGTATCTTTATTAGATAACTAATTACTTCTTGTCCTATTCCTAAATGGTATATTATTATTATAATTATTATTAAAGGTGCTAATAGAATAAAATATATTGATACTGTATCAGAATCAGAAACTTTATTGATCCCCTGATGGATATTTGTTTGTTACAGACACATGTTAAAGAATAGAAATAATACTTATATTACAATATTTTACACAATATACAGAATAGAAATGTATCTATAGGTATGTACATAAGTAAAAAAAAATAAAATAAAAATGGAAATATAATATTATGAGAGATATAATAAGATGATAAGAGCCTATATACAAAGTAAATGTAAATCTAAACATATTCCACAGTATGTGCTGACAGAAATTGAATAAATAATAATGAATTTCAAGATTGTGGTGTTGCAGAAGTTATAGATTAAAGTTTTCAGTTTAATGTACGTATGACGTATGACTCATTTCACACATTATTTTCTCCTCTGTGCTTAACGAGGTGATCATCAGTTAAGTGAAATCAGCTGCCGAGATGTTAAGTTGGAAAGAAAAGTCGACACAGTTTATCCTCGATTTTTCCACATTCATTTTACCTTCTGCACATTAATGAGAACATAAAAGTATGCTCTCTCTCACACACACACACACACACACACACATGCTGAAGTTTAAATGCCCCACTGGTTACCAATTTGTCCCAGTTATGGATGTGAACATTATCCGCTGACAAGCTGCACAATGATGATTAATTATCAGCTTTGGTAGCTAATGTACTTGGCATGCTAACATAATTTGACTTTAATTGTCTGTCATCCCTCTTTCTCTTTGTTTCCCTTTCTTTATCTCTCCATTTCTTAGCTCTCTTTTCTCTGTTTCTTTCAAATAAATAACATTGAGGAAGTTGAGAAAGCCACCTTTTTGTTTAAGGGCTCTCTCTTTTCTTACTATTCCCTTTCTCTCCCGTTCGTACTTTAAGTGTCTCTCTGTGAGACAGAGGAACAGATGGGGGACAGAATAAGAAAAGTGAAAGGTTTATCTTTGTCACATTTTCTTAAAAATATTGATAAAGGGGATTGTGGGACAAGGAGAAGATGACAATCCCTACTCTCTATGTATAAATACACAAAAACACTTCTCCAGTTGACCAGCAGAGTGCAGTAACCATCAGCATATAAACTCTGTGCTGCTCTGCTGTCCTCTGGTTGGCGGAGACTAGAAATCACAGGCTGTGATCATTTTTTTCTGATGCTTAATTTGTTGAGAAATATATTGGAATTAATGTATATAATAAGTTGCTACAGAAGTGTATCAACTCTTGACAAAATGTAACATCTGAATGAGTGAGAGACTGAAAGCAAACCAACAAATGTCTCCATACAGTGTCTGAAATCAGTATATCAGTTATAAACAGTGCTCTCGTGCATTGATAATAAGCCTTTAACAAAACTGGAGCTAAGTCAAACACCCTATATGTAAACATGCGCTTTAAGCCACTTTCATCAGTCGTATCAAAACCAGACGAGGAAGTCCAGCACATATTTTCAGGGAAAGCTTAACTTTAAGAGCATTATAAATGGAGAGTAAAATAAAACATACTTTTCACTCTCAACCTCATCCAAATCACAATTATCTGTCCTCCACTGGGACAAAATAAATCTGTCTGTGGGCTTAAATTCAAAATCAGCTTCAGGACTCCAAAGCCAATAATAATCGAATCCAAACAATACGGCCTTCAAATACAAAATCAGGCAGATTTATTCTTGAAAGACTAACTTTTTGGGCCGTCACCCACACATTTATGGCATGTTAATATTCAGTCTTTTTTAGCAACTCCAAAAGAGACATACAACTGCAGAAGTTTTCCTCCCAGTTAATACTGAATTGTTGATGATATTCAGTCAATGTTTTTAACCTTGAGGTAGTGTTAAATCCATGCATAAGTGTAATGAATGGCTCCACTTTATGGTAATAGGCCTATAAATTGAATTTCACTCGTTTCAGCCCCCAGCATGCCAAAAGAATGAGAGTCACAGGAGCAACCGTGACATTTTGGACAAAATCTAAACATCAAAGTTGCAGCAAAAATGTATTTAGCGTGAACTGATCATGAAGTGAAATGCGTCTGTTGTCCTCATGACTGCCATTCATTCTGCATTAGACGCAGTGGATGTAATTCTGCAGATGTTTGTCTGGCATTAACCGCAGCTTTCATTAGCACACAGGGCGTCTGAATATCACATGAAAAAAAACTGGGAATTACACTTTAAATGTGAAAATGATCTAATTTCTCACACGGCTGACAGAAATTGCCAAGTAAATATCAGCTGTTGCCAGGTGATACTGCCACTTTCTAAGCAGTTTACGCTTGTAGTGCAGTTTAATGATCGCAGAGCATCTGGCGGCAAATTGATTAGGACTTGCCTACAAATGACACACATTTGGACATTTTCGCAGCGTAACGGCACAAAGTGAGGCGCTGTGATTGGTTGAAAGCTGAGTTTCTTCAGGGTCTCCACAGTGATGATGGTGAGGTTGATCAGGCCTTTATACATCACCTTGACAGCCCTCCCTCAGAGGCGAGACACATGACTGCTCTGTGTATGTGCGTGTTAATGAGTGTGTGGACCTTACACTGTAAATCTATCAACAGAGTCACAAACATAAATACAAATGGACAAGCAGGAGAGGAGTATGAGTGATGTGATGTGACTGTCTCTCTGTCAGACTCTGCTGAGGATAAAGTGACAGCAGCTTTCCTTCCTAACACACTGGGTCACTCGGTTATAACCTATAACCGGCTCCTTCTCCATTTTCTTTTTCCTCATTATTTCTCAACTCTCTTCCCCCTCTTCTTCCTCCTTCTCCTCTTCTCCACTCTGCTCATTAAAGTCCTCGTAATCTCAAAATCAAAATATTGAGATATTGAAAGTCATTAGACAAAAGCATGCTTCTCATTCACTGAAATGAAAACTTGTTAGTTGCTGCTCACTTTTTGATGTTTCAAACTAACTTGTTCGTTTGCTGAATATAGGAATCGTTATGTTTTCATTACCTTAGAACGAGACGGTTTTATCTACAGAGGAAGCGTGTCCTCTTCTACGAAGGCAGCCATGTTGAACCGCCATGTTTCTGCAGTAGCCTAGAACAGACAAACCAAACACTGGCTCTAGATAGGGCCTTTTTATGTTTTTCGCGAGTTTCAAGGCCTCCGTAGTTTCTGATACGCGCAATCTACTCCTTCATCGCTGGAGGCCACTGAATCCTACACTATGGTCCTTTCAAGGGGAACTCCATCGATTGTACACATCTAAGTCAGGTCTCAGGAGTATTACCTTATATGTGAAATTGTGTTATTTTAATCTAACATAACATAGTTTGGTTGCTTAGCTTACATACTCTTTAGTATTTTCATCCAAGCCAGCAGCGTGGTTCTGGGGACGGTTGGTCGGTCGGCCACTTTGGTTCAGACTGAAATATCTGAACAACTACTGGACTGATTGAGACTAAATTTTCCACAGACATTCATGGTCCCCAGAAGATGGACTACAACTGTGTCTCTACGGCAATCACATTCATATAGTTCCACTAACAGGTTAATTGAAACAAGTTTTACATTTTTCCACAGACATTCATGGTCCTCAGATGATAAATCCCAATTGATACAATCTAGCACCGGGTCAAAATTTCCCTCTGTCCAATACGTTTGTTTGTGACCAAATACCTGCAAAACTAATGCTGTTCCCATCAGCTGCAGCTATAGTTTGTTTTTAG